TCTCATCCTAACATGATTTGGAAGGAAAGCTGCTCAAGTACCGTAACTGTTCTATTATTTGGCCTGTTTCCTTGTATTATTTGAAGTGTATGTTAGAGAGACTATGTTAAAATTCCACTGCTGGAATGAGTATCTCAATCCATAAATCCCAATTCATAAAACAATAGCAGGGTTTGACTATGGTATTTCACAAATACATGGACAATTGTGAATTAAGACTAGCTATAGGATGCTCAAGGACTGAATAAACTTCAGAGGAGGAGGAGAGTTTGAGAAACAGAGGTTAAAGATGTGTTCAGTTATAATATTCCTAGAAAAACTCTTTGAAATGTTATTTCATAGCTTCTGAAATACTGGATTTCTTTAAAACCCTATTAAGTATTCCTTTAATCTACTTTGGATAAATATTGACATTATGGAAGTCGGGGCAGAGGGAGCTCCAATCTTTCTGGGTTCAGCAGGCCAAAATTGAAGAGTTTTTTTGGTTTGGGCCTAGTCTATTTTGTGAGCCATGATGGCTTATAAGCTTTGTGATATGTACTGTAAAGAGAGCCATGTGACTTAGTCATCAAATCTTAATAAAAATAGTTAATGAATGGCATATTCTGTGTAATAAGGCATTAGTGAAATATTTCAGAATATGAATGTTAACATTAAAAAAAAATAATCTTATATATATCCGTTGATTTCAAGAGAAGCAACAGTTGTAATGCATTTTTGCCTTGCTTAAGTTTTTCCAGATACTTAGAATACACAAAGATGTTGAGTTTCCTTATAAAGTTAGAAGTATTTTGCCTCAGCAAGCAATTGCCTGTCTTCTTCTTTTGCTTACCTGGGCAGAATTCGGTATCCCGAGGAGCTATCTTGTGTCTAGTGAGTACAAATATGTTAATAGGTAAAAAAGGTTATGTAAGAATTAAGGAAAGGTGGGTTCTGGTTTTTTTTGGTTTTTTTTTAGTTTTGGGAAAAACCTGAATGCCATGTGCACCTGAAACCAAGAAAAAAGTTTGTAAAATCAGGTGACCTGCTTTATGACTGTCAGGACTTACAATCAAAATTGAAGATTCAATTGCAGTCATAGGTCGAGGACTACCTGTACTGTTTTTCTTCCAGAAGTCTAGATAAACCATCAAGAGTGATATCCTGGAATTAAAAACAGAAGCAAGATCTCTTCTTTGCAGACATGGGCCTTAGAGTCACCTTCCTTGAGTTTTCCATTCTCTCTGCTTGACTTTTTTTCTATTTTCTTTGAAGTTTCTTAGTCCTGTTATCCCTCCACAAGTGTTCACTATGTTAGATTGAAGGATTTCCCATCTTTCTTGATAAGATGGGAATGTCCATTACAGGCAATAAAGCATTTGTGCCTTTTATTCTTATCTTGTGACATCCCCAGTTATTTCCTGCTCGCTTCCTTTCCATTATCATTCATCTAACAAATAGAGCTTGTTTCACTGATTTCATTGAGGAAGTGCCATTCAGCCATATGCTATGAATCCCTGAATTTTCTTAAGTGTTTTTAAATGCCAGCTATTAATTGTGTTTGCTGGCATGCTGGCAGTAACCGAAGGGCTGAGTAACAGGAAATGTGCAAGCAAAGAAAATGTAATCCACTGGTATAGGTTTTATGCATACCAGGTAACTTTTTCTTTTAGCAGATTGTTTGATCTTACTAATAGCAGCTTGAATTCTACCATGCTTTATTCTATAATGGTGAGAGGCAGCAGGCAGAGTATATTTATGCATTTCTTCATGTATGGAAACAAACCTGCATAAGCTAGATATGTTGGACATTATGTAATCTATTTAGGATTACCTAAATTGGAATTAGGGTTAGGGTTCATTCAAAGCTTTTGCAGCCTTAAGAAGAGAGTTGCAGATGTGTCTTTCTGCCTGCCTACCTACCTATTGGATTTTGAGGCCACCCAATTGCAAAAAGACTTTGGGCAGTGTACAGTTTTTAAAAGAACACATTATTTAAAGAAACATGACTGCCCAGACAAAGCCATATAGATAACATGAATGAAAAATAAATTAACAGATTCTTCACAAATCCCCTATCCCCAGGTATAGGAATGGAGCTAAATATAATTATCTCCACAGGATACTGTTCCAGAGAGTAGGGGCATGACAGATTAGGCTGTCATGGTTTCAAGGGCAATCTCATGTAGGGTCCCCTGTACTGATTTAAATAGTGCAGACATGAGGTCACTAGGGCATGAGTGACCATTTGAAGCCCCCCCCCAGTTGAGAAAAGGACACAATTGGCATTCATGATGGACCCATGCAAAGGCCCTCCTCGCCACAGCTATCATCTGCTGTTTGAGTAGTAGCTGTGAGTCTAGGACAGTTCCCAAATTGCACACTATTTAGAATGAGGAAATGCAACATCACATTTTGGAGTTCCGTGTGATAATATTTGTGATGGTTGATACCCTGTTTCAGAAGAAGAGAGTGCCCAGGCAAGGTCAGCCAGCCTCTTATTCTTGCAATACTTCTCAAATAGTAACAGCTGCTTGATACAGCTCTTTCATGGCAGTTTGTTATATTTTTGTCTGTCATTCTTGGTTGAAAATCAAGCCAGGAAAAAGGGTCTCAAACTACTGAAGCAGAAGAAACTATTATTATATGGTCTCCTTGCTCTTGCCTTTGCTAGGTCAGGTTCTTTCAGTTTGACTGTTCCTGCTTTGCTACAAGATTCTAGTGAAAAGATTCATAGAAAAACAAATGGCTTCAGTAGGGCCAAGGTCAATGCAATAGTGCTTAAGGCAAGGAAACTGTCAAACTAAATTAAATAAAGTGAGCTAGAGAGGGAGGATTGAACTGGAGTAAAAGGAATGCCAGTAAGACCACAAGTTTGGGGAAAATCAATGAGAAGGGGAGAAGAAAATCTGTCATGGAGATAAGGCTGGAAGGAAGCGGTTTGTTAGAATTGCTGTGGTGGAGGATGAGTCAGATTCAGTGTAATTGTGATTTTGACGTCTGATTTCTTTGCTGCTTTGTTCCTAAATTTAGCTTTAAGTACGGAAATGCAACTTTTTTGAGTTCCACTTATTTTAACTATATGTGATTTGAAAGAGTTTATGCTGCCCTATTCTTATCCTTTCCTAACTTTCATATAGAAGCTATTGAAAGGCTAGAATCTTCTTGTGACTGTTACTCAACATATTAAGGTTGTATACAGATACACATCATTCTACAATGAGCCCATAATAGAAACTAGATTGTGACATTCCCAATATGTATCTTAAGGAGAACCTCTTTCACTGGCTTACAGCAAAATAATATTTTTACAATACTGATTCACCATTTTTTATGTCAGACTCACATCTGTGCTCCCTTTCTACAAGTATAATTTATAAACATAAAGACTGTTTAAAAACCTAGGGAAAGACAAGAAAATGCTGAACAAATAACTGTGTGAGCAGACAAAAACAGATTGACTGAAGTCTGTTTATGTATCTTCACATGATGGTGCCTGTACTTCAGAATAAATGAATACTTTACCTGGACGCTAGATAGAGTTCTTGCATGAGAATGCAGATATTTTATATGGCCTTGCTTGAAGTGTCACAAAAGCTCACGTGGGAAGACTGAAACTCGTCTGTTTCACAATTTGTATGTTTTCATTTTAAATCTATATTTTTATTTGGTGGGTTTGCCTAGGTGTTGCAGATGCCATGGTCCTAATACTCAACTGAGAGTCAGTTTCAATATTTTGAGTGTCCACAACTGCCTCTGTTTCTGTATTATTCTACATCAGAAGTTTTCAAATGTGACAGGATGTATGGACTTCAAGTCCCAGAATTTCTGGCTGGGGAATTCTGGGAGTTGAAGTCCACATGTCCTAAGTTGACAAGTTTGAAAAGCACTGTTCTACATAGCAATAGCACTTAGACTTACATATCGCTTCATAGTGCTTTACAGCCCGCTCTAAGCAGTTTACACAGTGGGCATATTGCCCCCAACAATTTGGATCCTCATTTTATCGACTGTGGAAGGATGAAGGTTGAGTCATGTTACTGTAATGGATATGCTAGAATATTTTTTGATAGAAATTAGCTTGTTTTCCCTTAATGGGATAGTTTTTAGAAAAAAACTATACATCTGGTCATGTATTCCTTTGTAATATACTGGAGGAACTTCCAAACCAGATCAAAGATCGCTGCTGTCCCTTAATGTTTTTCATTTTTAGATTGCACTTCTGCTTTTCTGAAAGAAGTATTGACAATATTGGAGAGAACATGCAATTTACTCAAAGTTTCTGTACAAGTTTATTTTTCAGAGTGTAAAACTTCATGAAAAGCTGATAATTGTCTGCAAATACATTATCTACACTAATTAAATAAGACAACAGATTGCAAGTATATTATGGGTGTAACTGCAGGGTTGCCATGAGCAATTTCAATAAAATGCATTTTCATTTAAAATGTGACTGAGACTTGATGGTAGTTTTTGTAATAAGTTTAGATTTTCTGATACCACAATTTGGGCTGCAATTTTGATGGAAAAACTAGATTTACTTCATTACCTCCTTGCTAACCTTTATCTCTTATGTAGAGGAAACACAGGGCAACTTTAGAAATTTTACCTATTCAAAAGAGCCATGCCTCATAGTACTATTTCAGAATGCATGAAGAGACTATTCAAGATTAATGTGGGAGAGCTACAGTATCTTTCAATTATTTAGAACACTATTACAATTATTCATGGCTGCCAACATTTAAACCTGTTTCATACTGCCCATGTGACTTTTGAGCCATGACTTTCCTAGTTACAGGAAAATATTGGCAGATTATCACTTCTGTTAACTCATAGTTACATAAAATAAGACTTCCATCCCATGAAACATCCATATTTAAATCCTGTCAGAAGAGTTACTTTCTTAAGGATACAGAGGTGACCTTTCAGTTTCTGCAGAAGGAAATAACAATATTCAATAACCCAAATTGCAGGCTCTACGCATGGTCTTTTTTTCAACTTTTGCAATTCTTGTTCTGTAGGTGTGTTGTTGTGCTGTTTAACCCCAGGAAAAACAAGCAGCATCATATTCTAAACAGCTCCAGGTAAGTGAAAACACATAGTTCTCAGTTACTAACATGTTTATATTGTAAATGTTGAGGATTTATCCAGCTGTAGCATTCAATGAATTCTTCCTAATTAAGAACTGTGTCTCACCTTTATAGCTTATAATGGAATAGTTTAATCTGGTATCACAGAATTTCTTTTTTAGTCTTTGGAAATTTATTACTGAAATGAAATGCAGAATTTCCTTTATGTTGAACTCCAGGGTATACATACATTATGAATGCCAGAAATCAAGTTCACGGAGATGATAATTGTGGGGAACAAAATTGTGGTTAAATAGCTGATTTCTTAACTTCGGCGAATTAAAATAACGTAAGATTATTCTGCAGTTCAGGTGCTTAATGCAGTAAAGCATTTACAGAGTGAACTGTTGTACACTGAAGTGTTGTGTTTCTCCTTTTTGTGAAATGCTGTGGAGGCCTGAGCTGTTGAAGCCTTTTTTCCGTAAACGACTCTTGCCCTGATGTAACATCTGAATAAATCTCTGTTGAAAAAGTGTGCTAAAGCAACCATCAGTTTCACACAGATGTCCATTTTGTTCCGCTTTCCTATATTTTCTCCCATACTGTTTAGAGTCATTCTGGACTCGAGCAGCTTAAAAATTCAGTGAATGAATGGTCTGAGGTTCAAAAGCTTTAACAGACAAATATTTATACAACAGGCTATTCGCTTCAACACCTAGGCAAATAAGGATGTAGTGTTTGGCTCTTGTAAAACTTTCCTTCATAGTGCAAGGAACAGGAACATCACTGAAACTGCATGGCCTTATCTTAATTTTACTGAGTTGAAAATGCCAATATTGTAGTGATTTTGTAGTCTTTCACAGTAGGATTTATTCTTTTCTACAGGAAGACTATTACGGCCCTTGCTTTTTCTCCCGATGGAAAATACCTGGTTACTGGAGAGGTAAGTTATGGTCACATGGCTCTCATGTGCCAGAAATTCAAACATTCCGTCATATTTCTTTCTTTCCTCTATATATTCAAAATGGACAGTGATTAATGTTTGTGTGTGTGTGTGTGTGTAATGTGTTTGTGTGTAATGTGTGTGTGTGTATGTGTGTGTGTATAGCTTGGGTATATCTGTGTTATGTATATGTATGGGTAGATATATACTTTCTTTGAGAGCAGGCAACAGAATTTCATTTTTAATGTGGGCCAGTGTGCTCATAGTAAAAAATGACAATAAAGGTTATCTTATCTTATTTCAATAATCAAGTAAGGCCAGAATGACCTAAAAGTCTTCCTCATGACCTGGACTATGGAGAGAGTCATGATACAACAAAAATATAGCTCCTTGCTTAGGGTGGCAGAAAAAAAGGATCTGGGATCCAGGTCTAAGCTTGCTGTTGCCCATCTACCTTGAAAGACCAGAATTCCTAGTTATATTCTCTACACCAGCGTCTACTGCTACTTGGGACCACAGGAAGGTGTAGATGACTGCCAGCTTCCCCTTTTCCATTGATCTAAGGTAAAGAATGATGGTTGTGGCCAATTGCTGCCTACCCTTCCACCTCAATTTGAGCCTCGTTCTTGAACAAGCTTAACTGATGGAGGCATCATTTTGAGGGCATGGGATCTAGGCAGCTACTCAACAGACTCACTATTGGAAAAACCTATATACTTGAAATAACTTGCTTGGGAAGAGCAGTGCTGATAGCTTCAGTAGTGCTATGGCTGCACAAAGTTTCAAATGGAAGCAGTTATTAGGAGAGCCATCAAGAGCTGGACCTGATTTAATCTATCAAATGAACTGATTTCTTTTTAAATCTTCAAGAACAGGAAAATTTTGCACTTTGAAAAATAATTATTTTTCTCCCAATATCACCAGGATGTTTTTGAGGCCCCCAAATCAGTGCCACCAAATCACTGTTGTCGGGAAGGGATCAAATCCCAACAGAACTGCTTCAAAAGTTCTTGGGTGCATCTAGCGGTGGGCAGGTGAGCATTATTGTGAACCAACATCACACAGGAAGTGGTGCCATAGAAAATCCCACCAAATGTGAAGATGCCAAAGGAATACTGCTAATGAAGTTCATGGAGTGTGGTTCGACCATCAGTTTAGAAGTCTGCTATGAAATGTTATGAAAACTCAGACGAGCCATCCATAACAAGCGTTGGGGCATGCTGACATCCGGTGTGGTGTTGGTTCACGATAATGCTCGCCCACACACCGCTAGACACACCCAAGAACTTTTGAAGCAGTTCCATTGGAATGTTTTTGATCACCCCCCATAGCCCAGATTTGGTGCCGAGAAACTACTACTAAGGAATTTCAAACCTTGTAAGATGTTATGACAAGTGTCTCAATTTGAATGGAGATTATGTCGAAAAGTAATGTAATGTAGTTTTCTAATGTGTATAATAAAAGTTCTGTATCTGTGAGCGTCTGTCATTGATAACCAAACAGAGGTTTAATTCTGAATTGCCCTCGTACATTCCAGTCTATCTGTGCTAGATTTCATCTGTAAATGTGTCACCAGGGTCTATGGTTAATGGTGAACATGGGCTTCTTGTACAATGGTCACATTCTGTTGATAATTCATGGAGTCTCCAATGCAAGGCTTGTGAACAAAGGTAAAAAATATGTTATTGTGGGTACCTAAAGAAGATTCAGTCTCAGTGGAGGGTAAGAAGAGTTGCTCAAATTGCAAATACATAATTACTAAAATATTTTAATAATGTCTTGTTTTATTAAATAGAAGGAAAATACTTAATCTGTGGATACATTGATTTAAGTGGCTGGAGAAGTAGAGAGGAAACCATAATGAACTAGTTGCTCATTTGGGATTGTTTTGCAATTAGAGCTGTTAAGGAGAGAACATTTAGAGCAGGGAAGCCAAAGAGATGGATTTGTAAGGTGAAAACCATTTGAAGGCAGTATATTTGATTTAGAAAATTTAATGAACTGGAGACCAGTTTTGTGTTGCACTCCCATGTTCTCTGAAGCACCTCTTTCAAAGCAAATCCTAATGTGTCCCCCTTAATTTTCTGTAGGAAATGAAAGGGTGGTGTTGGTTTCTGCTTTGGATGGTACACTTTGGGGTACAAAGAAACCAATGTGTACCGCATAGTCTTATTTACACTTTTTATGAGGAAAAGTCTTTGGGGGAAAAAATTGAATATAGTGACAAAGATGCTGATACTTGTAGATTTGGCAGGGCTGGGTTTAATTGCTGGCAAAAAGTTTACATTTTAAAAAAATGTACGAAGCTAGTAAAAGACAGTATTCAGTTTTTAATGGAGACCAGATATACATACAATGCTACCATTGTGTGTTTTATGAAGATTGAATTAATGCTTGCTTGAAGCCCACAAAAATGTTGACAGCCTCTTGTTGTCCATGTTGGATGCCTGCCATGTGGGTCCAAAGAAGCTGATTTACTAATAGACTGTGTACACAATCCCTTCATTATCTTGAATGCTTTGGACTGCAGTTATTGAATTCAAGGGGTGATTCCACCCCACTCCCACCAACTCAAGCAATGAACTGTAGAATGTCAATGCTAGTCACATGACCTGCAAACTTGTAACTGGGTCAACATAAGAATGATTGTGCAGGATTTAAAATGTTAGATTTGAGAATGGGCAGCAACATATCCTCAATCGCTTAAGAGCAAGGCAGGAGCTTCTCCTATTCCATGGGAATCTGATGCTCAGAACATTTTGCCACAGGATATAAAATCCTAAGTTGGAAAGGCCCTTTGAGGTCAGCCCCTGCTTAATGCAGGATTTACAAAGTGGGAATGCAATAACTGTATCTTTGACAGATGGCTGCTCAGCCTCTAGCCTCCCATGACTTTTGAAGCAACAGACTGCTCATCTTCTTTTGGACTTTTGAAGCTTTTTCTCTTCAGAACATTTTCCAAACTTTAAATCAGTGGAGCTATCTGTTAGCTCTGTTTGACTATGCCTCATAAACATTGCAATAACAGCAATCCATTATCCTTAAAAAAAAAAGCTTAGTGGCAATATAGTAATCAACGGCAGAAGGCTGGAATAGTTCACTCTGTAAGGAAGAGGAATTCCTGTAACTTTAAATGGCAAGGGATTGGATAAATGTTAACACCGACATTTCATGCTTGGGCAGCTGGGGTCTTACATGGTGTTGGTTGTAGAATCCAATGCCTCCATCGCTTCCTCCTCTTCCTTAAAGTAAGGACAACAATTCTCCGCTTTTCACTCTCATGCAGTGATTGCCTATAATGTTGACTTTGCTTCTGCTAGTATTAATTCTTCAGGATAGTTTTGTAGTGTGAGATATGTGTTTTTCTTTTCTCATTGAACCCTGTTAGATAAGTATTCATCTTGCTCCAACTTAATCTTATATATCTACAGTATTTTCCTTAAATATATTTCCCACCTCAGACTAAAAATGTGAATATTATAAGCTATCCATTACAAGAATCTCTAAACATGACTTTAGAGATTGTGGGAGAATAGGACAGGACAGGACAGGACAACAGAACAGAATACTTTATTTGGTCAAGTGTGATTAGACACACAAGGAATTTGTCTCTGGTACAGAAGCTTTCAATGTACATACAAAGCAACAGAATCATCATCATCATCATCATCATCATCATCATCATCATCATCATCATCATCATCATCATCATCATCCCAATAAGAGAAGGGAGTAAAGAAGATACGAAGAACAATAAATGATAATATTACACCCATACTACATGGGTAAATATACATAGTTATGAGACAGCAGTGTGAGAATTAGATGTTCAGCAGATTGATGATGCGAGAAAAAAAAACATCAGTTAACACACCAGTGAAAATAGATACATTAAACCATTTCCAGAGATGTACTTTTCAAATGGAGATTTTATTTTCTAGATGGTGTCCATTTTTATTTATAAATGTATTTCTGTTGAGCTTACCCAATTCTTCAATTAGAGCTAACTTCGACTGGGTCTTGTAAACTGGGCTAAAAAACATGCAGTGTACATTTCAGTAAAATAGCAGCAACCGTGATTTATATAAAAATGATATATGGCAGAATTCAGCTCTGGGGATCTAATCCTTTTAACAACCACTGAGCAAAAGTCAACATCTGTTACTAGAAATGACAAATACCATTCTAGACTCCAAGACCTGATGAAAGAGCCATGATTTGATGGATTTTGCAAAAGCCAGGTGCTATTTGGATATCTGGCAGAATATTATTTTATAGATGAGAAACAACTACTGAGAAAAATTGCCTGTGTGATAGCGGTGAAGATGGCAGCCCTTGAGTGAAACAGAGCAAGCCTTTTGGGTGACCTTGCAGTCAGTGTTGACTGCTGGAGACTCCTTGATGGGTCCCCGCAGTCTTCTTAGTAGAATTTCAGAAGTCGGTTTTCCCTTGCCTGCCTCCTAGGGCTAAGAGAGAGTGACTGGCCTAAAGTCACCCAGCTGGCTTTGTGCATAACCCAGGACTAGAACTCAGGGTTTCCCAGTTTCTAGCTTTGGTGCTTTAACCACTATGTCACACTGGCTCTCAAGCCCATTCTGCTGGATTTTATTAGTGAGGCAGATACTAGGAGACTATAGTCCTGCAGATACCTAAATGCTAGATCACACAGGGCATTAAAGACAATCAACATTTTAAGCTAACCTGGAAATCTATTGGGAGCCTTCTTTTACTCTCCCTCTTCCACATTTTTATTCACAGCCACACAACCTTTGATGTCTCCTTTCATCTTCCTTTAACCATTACCAGTTCATTAATCTGAATGCATGAAAATATAGGGTTATGTATGCCTCAAACACCTAGATTTCCCATAGACAGAATTTTAAAGAAAAACATCTGAAATTCTGGTATTCACAAATAGTAGTAGTAGTAGTAGTAATAATAATAATAATAATAGTAATAGTAATAGTAATAGTAAAGTTGGAAGGGACCTTGGAGGTCATCTAGTCTAACCCCCTGCTCAGGCAGGAAACCCTATACCATTTTGGACAAATGGCTGTCCACAGAGAAGAATTTTTGGAGGTCACAACCTCGTAAGTGGCGAAGACCTCCGTCCAACAAGGTGACCAATTAACAAGATTGACAGTCCTTCAAAGAGGAATCAAGATCCAACGAAGAGAGGAACTAATCAAAGGTGGGCAACGAAGAAGTCCTGCCTTCAGGCGCCTTGGAAAATAGCTTGACTCCCTCTTCTTTGTGGCAACCCCTGAGATATTGGAACAATGCTATCATGTCCCCCCTCGTCCTTCTCTTCATTAAACTAGACATACCCAATTCCAGCAACCGTTCCTTATATGCTTTAGCCTCCAGTCCCCTAATCATCTTTGTTGCTCTTCTCTGTACTCTTTCTAGAGTCCCAACATCTTTTTTACATCGCGATGACCAAAACTGGATGCAGTATTCCAAGTGTGGCCTTACCAAGGCATTGTAAAGTGGTATTAACACTTCACGTGATCTTGATTCTATCCCTCTGTTAATGCAGCCTAGCACTGTGTTGGCCTTTTTGGCAGCTGCAGCACACTGCTGGCTCATAGTCTGACTGTTCAGTTGTTCTTTGCCAAACATGCAAGAATTAATATTCCTTTTTGTTGCTGTTGTCTTATGTCACCAAAGGAGATGTGGAAAAGCATGTTAGTCAGGTATTAGTGTGTGAACTTGGGTATTGTATATTTTTAGAAACAAATTTAAATATTTGTAATAGCCTTTACGACCGACTCAGAAGATGGTGGGCCAGTGGCACTTTTCAGCAGCTTAGACAAGATTAAGTAAGTGATGAGATACGGAAGATATTTCAAATTTATGTCTGATAAAAAGAATTATGCTGCTCAAAACATGAGAAGTAGGTTGCTGTGAATTGCAGAAGCTAGGGTATGATGCCAGGTATGCAGTATTAGAATTCTAAACAAATGGGCATTTTTGTTGTGTCTACACACTTGGCTTATTAAATGTGGTTGGCAGGCATTCAGCCAACTAAGCATAATATTCAAGAACATCGTCCCCCTTTGCCTGAAGAGAAAAGTTTTCGATCAGTGTGTGCTACCTGCTTTAACATATGCCGGTGAAACATGGACACTAACCTCGCAATCGATTGCTGCATGTGTTTTACCAGAAGAACAAAAAACTTTGATGGTTGAATTGTGAAGGTATTGAGCCAGTTTTATCTGTGGAAGAACTGTTAGGGAAGCCAAAACTTGGAAAATGAGAGTTTCCCCCAGTGAGGAACTTGTTTCATCTTGTTTCTTCTTGTTTCACAGTGTGTCAAAGCACTGCAAAAGACTAGCTTTCTTGTGGTTGAGGGTATACTGCAGGTGAACTGGAAATGAGTCTTCAATTCAGCCAATGCCATGTGATTACAGATAGCAGAAAATATCAGAGCACTCTCTCTCTCTCTCTCTCTCTCTCTCTCTCTCTCTCTCTCTCACACACACACACACACACACACACACACACACACACACACCTGTAACTCAACAGCATTCTTAAGACCTGCACAAAAGATGAAGCACTTATTTTAATAGTAAATACTCTTCCTAGTCCGTATTCAAATTAACAAAAGTAAAAATAAAGTTCTCCAAAATTCCTTATTGAACATATAATTTATTTTTTATATATAATTCTCTACATAAAATCTAAAGTCAGATAAAAGTAAGGCTGCTCATGGAATAGGATTTTCTTTCATCCTGCACCAGTTTACCCATTTTAAGATTTTTCAGGAAAATCTCCTGGAGGTTTGAAGGTTTTCCTGCTTCCTATTCTGCTGATCAGTTTGCTGCTAACCCATATTTCCATTTTAGTTATGCTGTGAAAGGAGATTGTCTGAAGAATTGTCTTCAGGATTAACTCTGCTCTTTTGTAAATGTTTTTTTATTGTTGCTTCATGCAAAGTTGTTTTTGGTCTTTAAAACATCCCCATCAGGTTTCTGTGCTCATCCAGGAGCATTATGTGGTCTCATCTGAGTTCAAATTTGTACCTTTCCAGCCTTATGGTTACTGAGAAAACATGATTAGAATTTTAGATTAAAGATTCAAGTCTTCAACCAAAATGAATCAACATATGGTTGTGTTAACATGCCAGTACCAAACCATAAGGCTGCCCATGAGAAGATGTGGCAAGTAAGTTGATGGTATTTTGGTTGGGCAAGTGTTGCATGACATGTGAATTCTTGCTTTGCCTGTCTGGAAGAGAAATCAGAGAACAAAGCTAGCTTTACTTTTAATTTAACGGTTTCATCCTCTTCCTTTTCCAAATGGATGAAGCAAATTCTTTTCTTCATACTTTCTCTATACATTGTCTAGTCTAGCTGCAAAAGACTGTCTAAGTTCACCTACATGTGAGTGGAATCACATGTATGTGTAGACATAAGGGATGCCTGAGAATTAAGGAGACTATGCCTATGTTTCTACCCACCTGATCTGGAAGTCCTGTATGAAATAAAACAGTGTACCTGCTGCCCTCTTTTTGCAACCTGTTGTATAATGTGGACAATGAAGAATGGATCCTTTTCCAGATTATTTAGGATGGTTTCTTTTGACTACAGGTAGTCCTCGACTTACAACCACAAATTGAGTCCAGAATTACTGTCCTTAAGCTGTCATTAAGCAAGCCAATCATGCAATCCAGGCTGCAGTCTTATGCAGAATGTGGGTTGCCTTCGGGGGTCGGGATGGTCCTGGGCTACTGAATGAATGGTCATAAGTCGAGGACTACCTGTAATGATATATGAAGCCATCAAAATGCAAACTAGATTCTAGTGTTGCAAGTTGATCCCAAAATAAAAGTGATTTATAAACAAAACCTGCCTCTTTTGGCCTGTCTTCCACGCTTGAATAAAAGTGCATGTAAGTGACTATATTGTAACGGCAGATTCTCTTTCTGCTTACAGAGCGGGCATATGCCTGCAGTCCGTATATGGGATGTTGCTGAGCGGACCCAGATGGCTGAGCTTCAAGAGCATAAGTATGGAGTGGCATGTGTGGCCTTCTCACCGAGCTCCAAGTACATTGTCTCAGTGGGTTATCAGCATGACATGATAGTCAATGTTTGGTCATGGAAGGTAAATTATAACAAGATTCTTTGTAGTCATTATTTGATCATAAGTTGCACTATGATACGCATTCAGAATAGCTGTTTCCTCACATAGAATCTACTCTGAGTTTCTGTCTCCTAGTTTGAGTTTGTTCTTGCTATATACAACAAGGATACACAGTCTGAGCTCCAAGAATTGCATGAATTCTTGAAGATAGATAGCACGTGGACCAGAGCCCTTTCTAAATTTGCAATCAAATAGAAGAATGTAATTTAAAATGTGGAGTGCAACCATTCTGATTATTTTTCATTATTTTAATTGAATTTAAAAGTCAATGATATGCAATTTCATCATGCCTGTAGGCCCTCCCTCCTTTTGGGAATTTAGTCTTCAGCTCAGAAAGCGGTGCTCACCTCACAGAAGATGTCTGATAAAGCAGTAAGCTGCAGCCATGGTATCTCTATGTTGCAATAACTGAAATGAAATGATTGTATTAGAGGTATATGCTATATTTCAGTGTGACAGAAATTAGGTTAATTTAATGACTCCCCTCTAGCCTTCAAAACACATAGAGAAATATTTCATTACTTTGATTATTAGTATGTAGAATAAATGTTCTTGAAATGGCATAGTAGTCTAGCTAGGAAGATTCCCTCAGACTTCCACTTCTTGGTTTGTGCTAAGGCTCACGCAGTGAAAGATCACAGCATCCTTTTCATTAGATAGGAAGACAGGAAACTGCCTAATGCTGGGTCAGGCCATTTTGCCATCTCATCCTGTCCTGGTCTGCAGTGATGGATACTGATTTTTAGAGTTGAAGATGTCAGAGGATTGAATCCTGGGCCTTCTGCATGTTTGGGAACCACTGTCTCTCTCTTCTTAGGTTGGCGGAGTCCACACATTGTACCAAGTCATGGTTTATTTTAAACATGTTTAATTGTGTTAACCTTATTTGACTAGGTTCACAGAACAAACTAAGACAAAAAAAACCCTCATGTTATGGCTTTGTCTGATGTTTCTTTTAAATTCGACATTCACTCTCAATGCAAAAAGTTATCCTATATTTTGTTTTAAAGAACTGGTAAATATATTCTGAGTTTTATTTGGTTTCTTCTCTAAAAATAAGTGGCACACAAGTAGATGTCTCTTCAAGGAGCAAAGATTTGGGGTTTTTTTTTTAAGGCCTCTTCAAAACATTGGATTATTTTTTGTGTTGACCAGAAACAAAGCCTTCCGTTATTGATACTGTTGATAGCAAAAGTGGTTTCTACAGAGAGAGTAGCTGGTTTGATCAGGAGTAAATTGTATGCTTAATATATTTCCTGGTATAACCGAAATGTGTTCAGTTTATCTAATTATATATGAGAATTCAGGACAATAAACAAGGTTATCTTAAGGGACTAAAATGGCAATGATTTTTATATGCCAAATTAATGTTGGGCAATTTTTTGTTGTTGAAGTTAAGTGTGGTAAGCTGTCATTGCTAAGTCTGGATTTGTTCATTCTTGTATAATCTTTCTTCAGCACATTGGGCTGTTAGTCATAAATTGTTTCACTGCTTTTTATCTGTGCATGTTTATTAAGTGGTGTCAAAAGATTTTTTTCTGACCTGAGTGAGTCAGGGGTAAATTCACCTCCAGATTTCTGATAATAGAATGCAACTCCTAGTATATCTATGTAAAATCATATTTAGATTTTTCTTTCATCTGGGGTAGCAAGAGACTATGTGGAGTCATGTTACCTTACCTCTGCAGAATTTAAGGTTACTATCAATGCAGATGCCTAACCAATGGAAGGCCAAGATTCCTGCTTCATAGCTCCTTGGATCATTGGGAGGGAGTCTACAGAAATTACCTCACCATTGGGAATTCCCATGGAGCTCTTGTGTCCTAACTCATGTGATCATGAGGGAGGTAATTGCAGGCTTTTTTCTGTCCATGAAGATTTCCCCTGTTGTTGCATCAGTCTTTGCTCTGATTCTGATTCTGTGAACTATCCCTCTTTATTTTGCTCACACCAATGGTAGCAATAGCTCAATAGTAAGCAATATTTTTGTACAATATTTTCTAGCTCATATTTCAAACTTAATCCCTAGTGCCAAATGGCTACAAATATTGTTTGTCTCAGCAAAACACTGCAACTTTCTTCTAAATGTTTGTCCAGAAGGTTCTGTCTTTGTAACAGAATACAAATGTGTCCATTTGTCCATGTGCAAATATATATAAAATTGAGCATAGAGTCTTTAAAACTAAATGTTAATGTTAAAAGCCAAGACTACTGCAAATGAGCTGATAGTGTGCCCTGAATAATACAAAACTCACTTTTGTCACTTGATCTGTTGAAGGCTGTAGCATTTTCATGTAGACACTCTGGGATGTATTGCTGTGTATTCCCAGAGATCTTGTGCATAAATCAGACAAATAGATTTAATTAGCGGAACATCTGACCTGCTCAACTGTCTTTTTTTGCAGAAAAACATTGTTGTGGCAGCCAATAAAGTCTCAAGCAAAGTGACAGCAGTTTCATTCTCTGAGGATTGCAGCTATTTTGTTACAGCTGGAAACCGGCACATCAAATTTTGGTACCTGGCTGATAGCAAAACCTCTAAGGTAAAGGGCATTGTTGATGCTGTTGAAAGAAGGGGAGATATTTGTAACTAAGATAATTAAGTCAGATTTACGAGTATTTCCACAAAGTGTTAATTAAACCATTCCAGTTTCCCAAAGCAAAACAGTCTTGACATGTTGTTCTTTCATGCCAGGTGAATGCTACAGTCCCCTTGCTTGGGCGTTCTGGTTTGCTCGGAGAACTGAGGAACAATTTTTTTACAGATGTGGCATGCGGCAGGGGTAAAAAAGCAGACAGCACGTTTTGTATCACTTCCTCTGGTCTGCTGTGTGAATTCAATGACAAGAGGCTATTGGACAAGTGGGTAGAATTGAGGGTAAGTGGCCTGTTGAACTTGGTTATCTGTTCATATCAGAGGTGAGAAGATCTTTCAGTTCTGCCAACTTTTTTCCTAATGCGGGATTTTGAAAATGTAGGAATTGATGTCTGGATGGGATGATATCTGGTACCTTCTGTATGAAAAAAAAAGATATTTAAATTAAGTAGCTAGGTATGAGTCATATAATCTACTGTATAAGAGAGGCAATCTCTCTCTCTCCAAGTGTTTTCTGCTAACTAGATTTGAGTATTTGAAGTGTATTTCATTAGGAGAAAAGTTCTCTAGAAAAAAATTCACCAGCTTTCTTATACGTGTGCTTTTAAATTGCATTCTTATTCTCTGCTTGATATATTTTAACTGTAACTGTAGTTTTGTAAATCTTCCAGAGTTTCACTCAGGCCAAAAATAGTCTCAAAATTGCTGGCAAACATGGCATCAGAGGGTACCTACTTTCTTAGAAAACAACCAATCTTACAGCCCATTCCTAATACAAGCACAAGCTATTTTAGACGTATTCAGTTGTGCTTGTATCCATTCAGCCATGCATTTGTACTTTGCTTCAATTGCATAACCAAGATGGAAAAAGACTGATTGGTTGAAGCCCACTTATATAGGATAACTGTCATGTAAATTGATTTTCCATAGACTTAAGTATTTCCTAGATCTATGTTTAATTTCCAGTAGATCCTGAATGATGTGTTATTGTTGAAGGACATTATGAAAATCTTTTCTTTCTCATAAAATGGTAAATGCAAAGATTTAGGGCTTTTCTTCTTTTTTTATAAAGGAACCCAGCTCCTAGGCCCTTGCTCACTCTTCAAACTGAATGCTCTTTCTCTCTCTCTCTCTTTTCCTTCTTTTCCTTTTGGCACTGAAAACACCCTTCTCTCTTTTACTTAGAACACAGACAGCTTCACAGTAAGTTCTAATGTCTCTTGTTTCCGACATGCCACTGCCCTAGCATCCCTCCCATTTGTCGTCTTTTTTTTTCTTTGCAATTGTGCTCACTGCAGTAGAATTTAAAAGCTGGAATAAGATTGAGTCTTCATCAGGAATTATATCTATTTGTTCTGTTGCTTTACATAGTGTTAGTTCCCATTTCTAATACAAGGGAAATCTTTTTCAGTGAAGTATCCAAATCCCTGTATGCTGGTATTATTGTTGTTGAATGCTGCTGTTCTGGTCATTCAGCCATGCTCCCTCCATTTCAAATCTTTTTTTTCTTCTACTCACTATTCTTTTCTCACTGAGCATGCTCAGTGTTCATTAATCAGATTGCTGAGTTTCTCTGCAGTGGCTGTTATTTCACTCTGGTGTAGTGCTGATACGGTTTTGGATAGATAATGAGCGGCACAGATTGTTTATTCTAGCTGTGGAATTCTGGGAGTTGAAGTCCACGCAGCTTAAAGTTGCCAAGGTTGAGTGAAAAATATTAGTCTAATTATTGAAAATAGGAGCTTATAATAATAATTCTCCTACAGAAACAGTTCTGTAGTTAATGGAAGAATACTTCCAGTTTAGTTTTTCCCCCTTATATTTAGTGATTCCATCTCATCTTGCTTCAGTTTTTTTCCTTCTTTCTTAACTACTATTTTCTTTCATGCCTTGTGTTATGTTGTGGCTCATGCTGATATGTTATGTCCCCAGACTACTGTGGCAAACTGCATCTCCGTGAACCATGATTACATCTTCTGTGGCTGTGCCGATGGTACTGTTCGAATTTTTAATCCTTCAAATCTTCACTTTGTGACCACACTCCCTAAACCACACTTCCTAGGGACGGATATCACCAGCATTACGGAAGCCAGGTAGGAAAAGTAGAGACCAGAAGCAACTTGTGTCAGAATTTAGCTTTGCTCTCTGTCTTGCATTTGCAAATACAATTCTAAGACGCCCAGAGTCACCTTGAGATATAAGATGGGTGGCCAATAAATTTTACAAATAAATAAATAAAATTGTTCAGGGAGCAAGAGGGGACCTAAAGGTGCTTTTCCAAAAGCAACTGGACTTTCTTTGTTTGTCGTTGAAGCTGTTTCGCTTCTCATCCCAAAAGCTTCTGCGGTTCTGAAAAAGCATCTTTTAGTTCTTGAAAAAGCACCTTTGGGACAACCATGGCCTAGATGACTGAGAATCTTCATAGACACTGAGCAAGAGGGGGAAAACTTTTTTTTATGAAAGGGATGTTTTCATCTATACTAAGCTGCAACTTCTATCATCCCCAGCCAATGGATGGCATCACATTTGAAGAGGCTGGCAGAAATGGTTCTGAGATAAATTACGACCATTGCAGCATCTCTATGGTAATGTGATCAAAATTCAGATGCTTGGCAATTGACTCATATTTATGACAGTTGCAGTGTCCCATGGTCATGTGATCACCTTTTGTCACCTTCTGACAAGCAAACTCAATGAGGAAGCCAGATTCATTTAACAACTGTGTTACTAACCGAAGAACTGCAGTGATTCACTTAGAAATTGTGGCAAAAAAAATTATAAAAGGGCGCAAAACCCACTTAACAACTGTCTCACGCAGCAACAGAAATTTTGGGCTCAATTGTGGTTGTAAGTTGTAATTGAGGACTACTTGTAATCATACTGGTATATTTCCAAAGTCCCCAGAAATTAAGATCTGCCAAAGAAGACCCTTCTCTTTCTTTAGCTGGGGGAGAGGCTGAGGTAATTCCTTTTATATATGTGACATAGAGCATCACTCGGTGAAGAAGATGTAGACTGAGGATATCAGAGGAATCTATGAATATTTTGAGCCAGCAGCCTGCCTATTCACAACATCTTCTCTGAGAAAAACATAGCTGATATTTGAATTAATACAGAGGCACATACATAAAGCTGACTTAGTGGCTGTCTGCATGTGTTTTAATTAAATGCATCTCTTTCTGAGAATTTTTTTTTTATATATAAAGGCATACTTCAAATATCTCATCTAGCTTGTTTTTCCCTTCCCATATCTCTGCCCCTAAGATCTATTAATGCCTTGTAAGCTTTTAGCAACTGTTCCTGGCAGAGTTTTAGCATGCACTGCCATGGTAAACTAACAGAGAGAAATAGAAATAAGTAAAAAAAATGTACAAAGCATCTGTCTGTGCTCTTGGAACATCCTCATGAGCTTTCAATACACTTGACTTCTGGCCTCGGATTTTTTTTAGTGACTTGGAAAGGCCAAGGTACTGTGTAGCTTAAAATATGATCTGCCAGTTTAGTTTTAGAAGCTGTAAACTTGGAAAGCTATGCACGTGCATACTGTTGTTCCTTAGCTCGTTTATAGTAAGCTCCTTTTGAACTGCAGTTTTACCTTGCATGGCCAGATTTTTATGACAGATAGAACGAACAATTAATGAGAGCTGCATCTTAAAATTGGAAGGATTTGAATATGTGGAATTGCTCACAGAGCTTAGAGTCATTTTATACTCTTTTTTTTAAACCCTCCTGTTATTGAATGAAGAAAACCTGTATTTTTAAAACCTGTTTTTTAAAGAAATCTGACAATTTCAGGCTTGTAATTTCTTACCCAGCATCCAAAAGTACGTGGTTCTAATGTATTGAGACTGATCAAAATGTATAGGTGTATGCATATTTTCCCCTATAGTTTAAAAGAAATTGAAATGCACCATTGTCATGATAACCAATTCATGCAATCCATTCTTTGTGCCAAGGTTGCTTGGGTGTTTCTAAGAGCTCACAGTTTTATCAAATACTTGACTTTCAATATAATACCATTATTATTCAAGCATATTTTTTAAAAAATGGGATGAACTATGAGAATGGAACTACAATTTTGTCTAGGGGACCAACAGTATCTGACAGAGTTCATAGAAGAGATAGGGAAAGCATCCCATCCTCACAACTACCATCTACTTTTCAAGCAGGAGGTGGGAATGCAAACAACAACAAAAAACACTGCACATCAGTTTTCTTTGGGGGAGTGAGCCAAACTGTAAACTGTCCAGAAGTAAATAGGGCAATTCCATAGATCTCCGTGCCCCTAAAACCCACCGTTGTTCAGTCTTGCTTGGGTTAAGCCAAAACTATTTTCTCCATCCTCACAGTTTCCTCAACCCCACAGCCTCCAGACAATGGGAAAGAAACTTGAAGTGAAGTTAGCCTGGTGTGTGTGGGTCGGTGTTTATGTGTGGCTGTGTGTGTCCATGATTGAGTATCATTGGTATACTTATAATACTTAATGCTGCACAGATGAAATACTTCACCCAGCTGCTTATGAAGCAGAAAGAGAATGTAGAGCTCTGAGGAACCTTGCAGAACAGGGTTCAAGGTACAGATCTCTCTCCTCTACTAACATCAACCGGAACCAACTTTAGAGGAAAGAGGAGAAACACTGCAACACTGTTCCTCATTCTCCCTCCCAAGCTGGTCCAGAAGGATACTGTGATTGATGGTCCTGAAAGCTGCTGAGAGACCTTAGAGGACTAGGATGGGTGAACCATTCCAATCCTGACCCTTCCAAAGGTCATCTATAAGTGCAGTCAGTGCCATCTCAGTATTACATCTGGTCTGAAGTAAGGAGTAAAGCCCCCGATATTATTGCAATAGAATAGGATAATGCCATATGAAACCAAATCTGTTCAGTTTGAGATCTGATTACAATTTAAACTATTCTTGTCTGTCTGAAGGAAAGAGGTTAGATCTGTTGGTTTTAGGGGCAGCTAAGTCATGCACTCATATGGCCATAAGCCACACACAGACACAGACACAAACACATAAACAGAGTCCATTTGAACTACGAGGATAACAATGCTGACTGAAGTTACAGGATTGTTACACAATTACAATGGCATGGTTTATGTGCAGCATTTTTAATAACCGCATACAAATATGTAACAGTAAAAAATACCGGTAGAACAGGCAAATTTCTGTGTCTGTCTCCTTTTACCAAACCTGCTCTCTTTTGTGCCTTCATATGTCAACTATTTAAAAATTATCCATTGTACTGTTTTTTTGCAGTCGGCTTTTCTCTAATGTGACTGATGCCAAGTATCCAGACACCATTGCCTTAACCTTTGATCCGAATAACCAGTGGCTGTCTTGTGTTTACAATGATCACAGCTTGTATGTGTGGGATATCAAAGACCCCAAGAAAGTGGGCAAGGTTTATTCCGCGTTATACCACTCCTCCTGTGTCTGGAACATTGAGGTAATGTTATGTCACAAATATTGAGGGTCACCAATAGGATCATTTCTGATTTCCTACAAAATAAAAGTGTTTCAGAATTAAGAAGGCACTTTCCATTATGGCAAGAATTCCAGTGATTTTTCTTTTTTCTTTTAAAGTAGATTTCTGTGCACTTTTGGGTTTTAGGTATTATTTAGGTAATATTTTGCATGTACATTAATGATTAACCATTTAGGAATGAATTAACGGAACGGAAAAGAAAAGGAGAAAACCTACATTGCTTTAGCCACATAACCGAACACGTGTATCTGCTAGAATGTAGATCAGCCTTCAGACAATAATATAAAGTTAACTGTTTTAAATGAAAGTCTACATATGGGTAATAACAGAAACAGAGATTTCTCTGACTGCTTGTTTCCAGTAATAGTGTGTGTGGCTGCCGGACAGGCACATTCTGTTGATTTTCCATTACAAAAATATACTCAAGCCTGGGGTTATTGTCCCAGTTCTTGGTGTTAGTCATTTGCTTATTCTTTTTCCAAAGTCTGGTTAAAACTAAAGTGCTTTACTGCATGCATGTCCTTGGCTATCTTTCCATATTGTCTTGAATTAGAATAAAGGTTCAATTTGCACCTTCCTTCTTGTTATCACAATTATAACAATTATGGCAATAGCTAAGTGCTGCTCCCTGCTGGCGTATCGTATGTGTGTAAGAATGCTCAAAGGATAATGAAATGTGCGGGTGTTTTCATTTGCACCAGAAAAGAATCCTTGAGATTCCTATTGGCAAATTCCTATAGAAAGGTCCAATTGCCAATTGTAACTCAATCAGATCATTCTGTGAAACAGAATCTGATAGTATAAACAGTCTCGGTAAAACCAGCTTCAAAGAGTAACAAAACAAGGCTTGTATACCTTGATAATTTTGGAGAGCGGAATATTTTCATAGAAATTGCAAGAGTGAGAAGCTTTACCTCTCTCTCATACCTATGAACAAGCATAGGTATGTTCTTCTCTTGAGCTCAGTCCTTCTTTGACAGTTTTTTGATAGTCATAACCCTCCCCACCCCCACCCCCAGTTTTGGAAAATATAGAGTCTATTTCTAATTCGGTTACAATTTATCTCCCTATAGGTGTACCCTGATGTAAAAGATAGCAATCAGTCTTGCTTGCCCCCAAACACCTTCATCACTTGCTCCTCGGATAACACCATCCGCCTGTGGAACACTGAGAGCTCAAACATCCACGGAGCCTCCTCACATCGGAACATTCTGAGCAATGTAAGACTGTCTGAGCTCAGGATAGATCACATGGCTTAATCTTTGACTTCAAGAGGAAGTGGAGGAGAACAGTCCATTGCACGCAGAATATTTATTTATTTAGACAATTTTGAGACTGCCAACTCTGGGTGGCTTACATTTTATTTATTTTACCCATTTTCTTGTCAATGCAGGATTATTATTATTTTGCTTATATCAGTAACTAAGATAAGGTTCATCTATGAAAGCTGTCCTGGAATATTGCTATTTCACTCTCCCAGAGTGTTTGCATTTGTGTGTGGGTGTGGGTGTGTGGGGATGTATGTGTGTATCCATCGATTCATTTTTGGAATGAATAATGTGTGGTTGCTTAATTAAGTAGTTCTCTGCCACTATGTATGTATGATGTCGATTTCTTGGGAGTACAGGATTAAAATAATACATGTGTACAAAGTTGGCTAAGTATGAATAGCATAATGCTGTATAAGTGTCCCAAAATTGTTTAGGCATTCTGATATTTTATTTTCTAGGAAAGAATCAAACAAAGTTGAAATGTATTTGTAACATTACCGTAAATAACCTTATCTCAGAACTGATTTGAACAGATGCTATTTTCTTCTTATTCTCTAGCTCCAGTTGTAATGCATCCAACTATGTATCTATTGAATCACATTGGAAAGAAATTGGAAATATTGGGGAAAATGGGCTTGAAACAAATTAGTTATTAAAGCTATGGGATTTCCAGCACTCCCCCCCCCCAACTTTTATTTCCACAGTGCATTACAGGGCCTTATGCACAAACTCTCTGAAGTTATATTCCTGCATTACTTTCCTGTATCACCATCCATGTCCGTTTTTAGCCTTATAGCTTTTTTGTTTTAGTTGTATCTAGTTTGTTTATATTTGGCCATAATATAATATTTAATTTTCAAACTCTCTGATTCACAGGTCTCAATTAAGGTTGCTAGAAAGTTTGGGATTTATTTTTTTTGCTTTGCCATTGTGCTGTGTATTTCCAGTTGCTGATATTAAGAGAAATATTAGCGTCCAGTACTGCTTTTATTCTGTGCCTTTCCTTTGCTTTCATCTGCTTGCTTCAAATGGAATCTTTTGTTCTGTCTCATTAGGATTTGATGAAAATCATCTATGTAGATGAAAACACTCAGCCCCTCTTGGACACAGAATACAATACAGCTGGAGGTGTAGAGAAGGCCGACACACAGGCCATAGATACAAAAGTGGGGATTCGCACAGTGTGTGTGAGCCCTACTGGGGAGCACCTGGCCTCAGGGGATAGGATAGGCACTCTCAGGTAAACCTTGGAGTTTTGGAGAACGTGTCCCTGCGTAATAACACCAAGAGATTCCTCCTAACTGCTTCCTTGCCTTGTATCATTTTCAGGATCTATGAATTGAAGCCCCTGAGAGAGATGCTGAAGGTAGAAGCCCATGATTCTGAAATCCTCTGCCTTGAATACTCCAGACCAGAGACGGGTAAGATTTGACTGATGAATTAATTAATTAATTAATCTTGTATACTGGTTTCCATAGGATTTCTGGCACTTAACGATATTGTACAGATATCACATCCACAGTAAGTAAGTAAGTAAGTTAAGTAAGAAAGAAAGAAGCAATTTAGAACTAAGGAGAAATTTCCTGACATTGAGAACCAATTAACCAGTGGAACAGCTTGCCTTCAGAAGTTGTGGTGCTCCATCACTGGAGGCTTTTAAGAAGAAGCGGCCACTTGTCTGGAATGATATAGGATCTCCTTCTTGAGTAGGGGCTTAGACTAGAAAACCTCCAAGGCCTCTTCCAACTCTGTTATTCTGAAGTAGCCTTAAAACATCCAAGTAAAATTCATTTAACATAATATAAAATAATAAAACATAATATAATCCAAGTAAAAAATCATTTAACGTAATATAAAACAGTTAAATCATATCTGGGCATTCTTCAAGCAGACATGCATACATCTTAGAATCTAGATGGTCCCTGTGAAATCAAGATAGATGCAAATCTACTTTCAACTTGGAGGCTATTCTAAAGGGCAGGTCCTGCTATACTTCAGCATCCCTCACTTCATGTTCTTTTTATCTGTGAAATCACACAGGATTCTAAACCTGAGCCTTCTGTATGTTTATAGCTAAGACTTTGGACAAAGAGTCCCACTTTCTTGGTGCCACACTGGTGCGATTTCCATTCTTTTTTTAAATTTCGTTTTCTCTTCCACATTTAGCAGACGATTAAGTCTTGAATCATGTTTATTTCTTTTTTCTTCTTCTTAGCATTTGTTTGTTGCATCTGTCAGACAGAAAACCTTAATAAGTAATGGGCATCAACCCAAACTTCCTGTTAATCTGACTTCTGCTTAATTCTCTGTAAAATTTGGATCCCTGAGATATCCGTTCTGCACTGTGAGCAGTAAAGTTATCTTTTGACTAGTCCCTCAAAACCTATCCAATAAGCCAAATAATACCAGACTATTCTGATACCTCAAATCACACAGTTCACTAAACCCCCAAATTCTTCACTCCTATTAGCTCCTAGCCTATTAAGGGCAGGTTATTATTATGAGTTACTTTTTCTTCTCCTGTGGTACTGGCAATCTCATTGCCAATTCATCCAACTTAGCATCCCTGTTGACTGTTCTTTCTATCCCTGCCATGTACTTTAGGTTCTCATACCCAAACTGTCAGTCTGTTTGTGGAGAATCTATTGCTGGGAAAGGCAATTCAATCTTGGATAGTGACATCTGAGAGAAATTCTCACGATTAACTGTATTTAAACTCCACAGGACATACAGTTTTCCTGGCCTCTATTATAGCAGTGGCTTAATGCTTTCCTGCTGTTCCTGAGGTGCATTATGCTTCACCCTATGATGAATAGAATCATGGATTATCCATATTCAGGATATTAATTTCACATTCAGGAGTTTATGTCACCTAAACTTTTTAGTTAGGGATCTCTTGATTGTTATTTCAGACCTAATCCATGGCATTTGCTACCACATGCTAAAACTACAGCAGCCATTCACATCTGACAGATTAATTGCAGGTATTTAGCTATGATTAGCACTGTGGTTATACCTTACTAAAAGCTTGTCAGGCAGCAGTCCAGTCTTTTCAATTTTCTTCCAGCATTAAATGCCATTGTACCTGGAATCATAACCAAGCCCTGATCAGGAACACAAGTTCCAATGTCTACTTCTATGGAATCTTTCAGTGAAGGTGAAAGATGAGCATGTTCCCTGAAAGATTGCTTTTGGATTCAGAGACTCTCCTCTCCTCTCCTCTCCTCTCCTCTCCTCTCCTCTCCTCTCCTCTCCTCTCCTCTCCTCTCCCCTCCCCTCCCCTCCCCTTCCCTTCCCCTCTTGAAGTAGAGTTGATGATCAGGCTCCTGCTTTACAGATGGAAAACAGAAAACCCAAATGGCACATTCTTTAGGCCTACAAGTAAAGTAATTAGCTCAGGCTATTTTGGAGTCAGGTTTCCAATTGGTGCATGATATAGATCAGTGGTGGCGAACCTATGGCACACGTGCCAGAGGCGGCACTCAGAGCCCTCTCTGTGGGCACGTGTACCATGCCCCGGAGATGGCAACTGTCCCTCTTCAACCAGCCACCCGCTAACTCGCCGAGGTCCCACGTGGCTGGATGCATCCCAGCACCCATACGCTCGCTGGCCTCTGTGTGTGTGGGCCAATGGTGTCAGGCAGCACCTGCCCCGGCCCCTGCCTCACCTTGCCCTGTGATAATGGCACCCCCGCCCTGCCTCACCTTGCCTCGCCTCTCCCTGCAGGACGAGTCTCCTGCCCACCGCCCCACCTGCCAGAGACCCCCTGGATCTCCCCCAACCCTGCCTGGCCCCCACAGGTGTCCCTCCCCACAAGCAACATTGAGGTGATCACGCCCACATTGGCCACACCCACCCAATCTGCCATGACCACCACAGCCATGCCCATCAGTGGGCCACGCCCACCTGGCACCTGGCGATAATTAAGTGGGTTTTGGGTTGCAGTTTGGGCACTCGGTCTCTAAAAGGTTCGCCATCTTTGTGCTAGTGTATTCATCAATAATTAGTCAAAGAACTTCAGTTCCAGATAAATAAGCATTCTGCTCCTTTTTTGTCTCCTTAACAGGATTGAAGCTTCTAGCATCTGCAAGTCGGGATAGATTGATTCATGTCTTGGATGCAGAGAAGGATTATAGCCTGCAACAAACCCTGGATGAACATTCATCTTCCATAACTGCAGTGAAATTTGCAGGTACTACAATTCTGTTTATGAATCAGCAACTTTTATTTGCTCGTTTGATAGCAGCTCTTGGTGATCTACCAAGGTTTTCTCACCCCACCTTTTCATAAGATCCAAGTTCTTGCCCTTTGTTTGACTATTACTAATTATCCCAATAGTGAGAAAATAACTTGCAAACATAAAGCAGAGCTATAAAAATGTGCGGTCTTCCAGATGCTGCTGAACTAAAACTTCACACAGCTCCAATCAGCGATAAGGATGTTGAATGTTATAGTTCATTAATATCTTGGAAGGCAACATTCTTTCCAACTCTGGTGTAGAGCTTGCATATTAAATGTTTGTTGGTTTACTGTAGTTAGCAGTCAATGTATTTTTTGTCAAACTGACCATGTTTTGTTTTGCCCTAAATTGCTACACTGGGTTTGATTATTTTGCTTTCTGTTGCAGAATTATTTATAGAGCAGTTTGTAGCATACTGATCCTTTAATTTGTGATTCAGATTCTAAAGATTAATTTGTGGGTGCGATACAAATGGAAAGATATTCCTGCTTTCCAACATGAAGTTAAAGTAGATACCATAGCGACTCACTGTATGATTATCAAATTATATAGCTTGTCCACAGAGTGTGTTTGCTGAATAGTAAGGTGTTCTAACTATTCCAAATAGTCAATTCTTCTCTCATCCAATGAAAAATATGGCAATCGTTTGCTGTATTTCATCCACACAGAGTAGCCTTCAAAAAGAATTAGTTTTAAACTTCTAGTCCTGCAAGTGTTTGAAGTGGTCCATTGAGGCCAGTGAAAAAATGAGCATATGGCTAATAAAGTTAATTATTATCATATAGAATGGCCCTTGATTGCTGAGACATCTTGTAGCCACTAATTATTCTCAGCTTGGATGGAACTTGATCCAGTTATTTGTTATCTTTGGAGACAGATTTTTTTAATCTAACCTTAGTTATAGTATGTAAACAACCCAATTTTTGGATGGTATAGGTAGATTCAGCTCTTCCCTTACCATCTGCACAGGCTGGAGGTGGTATGGCTGAGGAGAAGGAGAAGATTTTTCTTTGGCTGTCCCGGACAGATTTCCCCAAACATAAAACAGAAAAGAATGAGAAAGGCTCTTTAGATGGGTTAGGTGCCTCTAAAGCAGACACGTCAAACACAAGGCCCAGGGGCCGGATGCAGCCCGCAAAGTGGTTTCATGTGGCCCGCGAAACCATCCTGGAAACAGTGAAGGAACGGCCCCCGCTGCCTTGGCCCTGGCCCAGGCCGGCCAGGAGCCAATGTACAATTTTGTGGTGGCCATCTATGCTGAAACACATTCAGTCTTAGCTCCACAAGACCATCTGGAAACAGCGAGGAACCAGCCCCTGCCGCATCAGCCCCACTCCCTGGGTGCATGCACCCTTGACGCGAATGATGTAGAGCTGGCCACGCCCACTCAGTAGGCCACACCCACTCCATCCACACCCACCCAGTAGGCCGCACCTACCCTGGCCACACCCACCCAGCCCCCTGAGGGCAACTGCAATGCTGATGCGGCCCTCAATGAAATTGAGTTTGACACCCCTGCTCTAAAGTAAGAAATTCCTACTGTACTTCTTTTCTACAACATATTCTAGAAGGAGTGACAAATGGCTTATCTAGATCAGGGGTCTCCATATTTGGCAACTTTAAATTTGTGGACTTCAACTCCCAGAATTCCCCAGTCAGGCTGGGAAATTCTGGGAGTTGAAGTCCATAACTCCTGAAGTTGCCAAGGTTGGAAACCCCCTGATCGAGAGAAACTGTAAGGCATGAGTAAGAGCACATGGAAGAAATTAAAAAGCATTTGATTGCCCATCTTCTTGTTCGTGGACATTTACATTTTTCTCTTCCTTCAGCCAATGATGGAAAAGTGAGAATGATCAGCTGTGGTGCTGATAAAAGCATCTATTTCCGCACTGCACAGAAGGTAATTCCATTGGAGTGGTCACTTTTTATGTAACATGTATTGTAGAGCTGTTCTAAGGGGGTGGAGTGATAGAAGCAAAAGCTTTGGACAGTATTCTAGGCCTCATGGTTTTCTTTCAGTCAATACGTTTTTTTAAAAAATCAAATGTTAGGAATTGTATCATAGTACTGATCATAGAGTAGTTCTATCAATGTCGCATTCCAGTCTTTTCTTTCTTACATTTCCTTGTGAGACACACATAGTTCCTCCTTGGGAAAAATATTGTACATATCCATTAATACTATTTGATTAAATATTGTGGAGGTGTCGTTGCTATTATATTTCTTGCATTTAGACAAATGATGGGGTCCGGTTTACTCGTACACATCATGCTGTTAGGAAGACTACTCTTTATGATATGGATGTGGACCCTAACTGGAAATATGCTGCTATTGGATGCCAAGACCGTAACATCAGGTTGGTTCATAGAAGCTTCCTAGTTCAAATGTATCTGAAAAGCTTATATTTTAAAAGTATATTATTAGAAGGAAATTTAATTTTGACCTAGCTAGGATCTGTCAGTGTTGCCTAGATATTCTATTAAATCGAAAATGATCTTGCTTTGTTTTTCTGAGGAGACAAGTGTAATTTTCATCTTATTTTTTAAGATGATTTTTACGTGTTTAATTAGCTTTTTCCCATGAAGTTAAAATTATGACTTTGAACATTTTGATATTGCAAGCCTCACCAAATCCACTGGACCTACCTCTGAATAGGTATATCTAGGATTCCAACGTACAAGTAGTTCTTGACTTACAACTACAATTGGGGCTGGAATCTTGGTCTCTGAGTGAAGTGGTCATTAGGTTAGACACCCACATGACTGCTTTGCTCAACAACTGCAATTCCAGTGCTCCTTGTTGTGATTGTTAAGTTATGTCCAGGTTATTAAGCAGATGGAACATTACAGCTGCCTGCTTTCAGCTCCCCTCCATGTGTGGAGGGAACTCCTCCAAAGGGCTGCAGAAATGGAGCACAGATCTTCAGGATCTGAGCTCCATTTCTGCAGCCATAGGAAGGTATTCAGCTCTCCTCTATGTGCAGAAGAAAAGGCCTCCACCAGGCAAACGTGAAGATAAGGTCTGAGCTCTGTTTCTGCAGCCTGGAGAAACAGTTCAGTTACCCTTGACAGGTGGCTCCTTAAGGCAACCCCCAAGGATGAGAAGGGAGTCTTATCTGCAGATGGCACAGCTTGCAATCTTTCCTTCCAGCTTCCCTATTGACTTTCTGGGGAAGCCAGCGAGGAAGATTGCAAATGGCAGTTACATGTTCACGGAACACTTGGCAACTGGTCAAAGTGCGAACAGGTTGCAAAGCGTGTATGTGATGTTTTACTATTTCCAAGGCTGCTGTAGCTTTGAACAGCCAAGGTACATTTGAGGTATCTTGATTCAAAATGTCTTGCCCTAAGATGCACTTTTTTGCCTAGTTAGGCATGAGTTGTTGTAGTACAGAGATAAGAGGTATTTTTTTTAAAGAGATAGACAAATTCATGGAGAAAAAGGTATTTCTGTTAGCTATGAGTAACATATGGAATTTATACATTCTGCATTCAGGTATATGAACGATACTCATTTTGATAATTTCCCAGAGACATTTTGCTGGTTGCTGTAAACCAAATAAATAGCTTTGATTTGATTTAAGAGTAGAGGAGTTTCTTTTTACTGTATGTCTGAATTTCTTCTTAGGATTTTCAACATCAGCAGTGGGAAGCAAAAGAAACTATACAAGGGATCTCAAAGTGAAGATGGCACTCTAATTAAAGTAAGGCCTTGGTTAACTGTCACATAACAAATTGTGTCGTATTCCATCTTACTCTCTATACCCCATTTCCTTGTTACGTCTGTTATGCCTTCCCAGCTTGATATTCTAATTAGATAATAATATTTTAAGTAAATTCTATCTGATATGGAATATTTAACACCTGTAGTATAGCATTTACTGATGGATTTGTGTAAGCTACAACATGGTTCGTAGATTGGTGAAGCATTCCAGCTGCAAATTAAAGAAAAAACTCATGAAGACAAAAGAGAGCAACATCCATGTCCAGTCTCCCAGAAATTAGTTGAGTTTCATAAATTTGCCATTTTGAATCCTGCACTAACAATGGAAGAGCATATGAATAATGGCTTAGAAGTTCTTGAATTTATGCCTTTTTTTAAATAAAAAAAAAAGCAGCAGCTGTGTCTAATTTCCATGTTGTTGTTCTCAACTGACCCACATACATAAAAATCTGATTGAGCTGAATAAGCAATATTTAATGCATAGGCATTCTTCTCATTGTATATGGAGCCTTGCAAATCCTGGAACGCTTCCCTCCAAGGGCTTTGGGAGATTCTTGCATACTGTACGTGACAGTTTTATGATAGCTTTTTTTTCAGCACTTGAAGCTGTTTTCTAGTTTGAGGATCCCCAGAATTTCTTCCAGGAAGAAAAAAAACTTTTCTAGCAGCAGTGTGTTCCTAAAGTATTTCCATAAAAGATCAGGGAATAAGCAGTTTATGCCTAAATCAGTGCTTGGCAACCTTGGATGGTTCTTTCATTTTATAATCAGCACAAATAGCAGTAATATAAGTAATATAAAAACAAACTTGAAGAACATATCAGATATTAAATGTATTCATGAAACTACAAATTGTGCTATGTTTGTGATCTGATTTTTTATATAACTTGGTAACAAACAGCAGATGTGTTTGATTATGCTTTTATTCATTCATAGGGGTCATATTTTCACCTAATGTATTAGTTATAAATATAAGTTGAAGGAGCCAAAATTTGTCAGAAATCTGCATCACGACTTATGCAGGCATTTGATGTTGCAAATACAGACATTGCATTGATTTCCGCTTTAATAAAGATAAACACATAGATCCAAGCTGGCTAGATTTTCTGGCTTGAATCCACTCTGGGTTTTGCATAATCACAGTGGGAAAAACTGATGCGATTGCAAATGCAGATTGCAACATAAAACAGCCTTTCCCAACCTGGTATTCTCAGATGTTTTGAACTAATTATATTTTCTGAGGATGGTGTAGCTGGCATGAAATATGAAAGAATAATTAAGTATAAAGCATTAGTTCTTAGTACTTACCAAAACTACTCATATCCAATTTTCTAAAGCCTAGAAATTGTACCACAGATAACCACCCTTATGTTTTTTTCCCCTTTCTCTCTTACTTGTTCAGGTGCAAATGGATCCTTCTGGTCTGTACATTGCAACTAGTTGTTCTGATAAGAACCTTTCTATCTTTGATTTCTATTCAGGCGAATGTGTAGCCACGATGTACGGGCACTCAGGTAATGCAAAAATATGTTTTCAAAGAAAGTTAAAGTTTTGGTGGGAAGGAAATTTGGAGGGGCAAGTGTAGCAACCGGCTTCAGGTTACACTCCTGTTGGACATTGTGCAGTCATGAAACTGAATCCTTCTGGTGTAGAAGTATTATTCGATTGCATCAAAGATCCTCCCTGAAACTGGAAATGATTGTGGGTTTCTCATTTTGGAAGATAAAATCCAGCTATTAAATGAAGGAACAGTTTTGACTTAATGAGATATGTAAGTCCTTTGGTAGATGAGATGATAGCTGTGTTTACTTATAAAAAGATTTTTTTAAAAACATTAGGCCAACATAATATTTTAAGAATAGATTTATCCTCTGCTTTTTGGCCAAGACCTCAAAACAGGTCTTAATGGTAATAATTTATAATAAATATATTACAAACTGTATCCTTAGAGCAAACCAGACAGTTTTTTGCAGGTACCTACTGTTGAATGTGCCTGCTCTTCCTTCTGCAGGACAGTTGGTAACCACTGGCTCTGTTCAGTTTAGTCCTGCAGGAAGCAGCCAGATGGCAGTACCTTTGTCCCCTTCCCTAGCTGCCCTCTTAGTAATCCTTCAGACTTAAACTCTGAGTTTGAACTATGTGTAAAGATCACGAGAAGAAACACCAAGGATCCCCAAGCTACCAAACAGATGTTGTTTTGCACCAGGAAATTTTAAAAACTGTTTAACTGCTTGTTCTTCTGATTTTTACAGAGATCGTAACTGGGATGATGTTCAGTAATGACTGTAAGCACTTGATTTCAGTCTCTGGTGACAGGTAAGTGAAAGGATATTCTTTATTTAAATTTCATCTTTAAAATGAAAGTTAGCATTTCCCTTTTTAAACAATGGGGATGGATTTGCAAATAATTTTTAAATGAGAGTTCTTGGGTAACTATTCCACCTGCTTCATTTTCTGTTTTACACTCCTGGTCGATAAGTTTCAAATTAAAATGGAGATTCCTTAGGTCTGAAAAGAGGATGTGAAATGCTCTTTTCTTGAGCTGGACAACTAACAGGTCCTATATGCTCCTCACCTGAGTCATTTTTATGGCTTTCAAGGCCTTCCAAGATTATGCTGTTGAAATCTGGAACCCAAATACTGATTTGCTGTGGTGTAATTGCTGGCTTTATTTAGGGAGGAACAGTAAAAATGAGTATGTTAATGTACTTATTTTCCACTTGTCAATGAGTCCCCCAAAGCTCCCATCAAAAATTTAAGCACCATTGCCATACTTTCCAAATGATGTATCTTTTTAATGAAAGTTTGACTTCTTGCCTGATCTAACATAAAGTATATTGAAATGGAGAATGAAACTTAAAACGAGCAGCTTATAGCTTTTGAAGTACCAGCATAAAAATAGGAAGTGATAGGTTCCAGATAAATACTGTCCATTGGGAAATGGATATGAAATAGGGGAATGAAGTATGGAAACTCAGGTATATAGAAAGCAGGCTATGATGACTGGATTAAAATGAGTATTTTTTTCCGCTACTGCTTTCAGCTGTATTTTCATTTGGCGTCTGAGTTCTGAGATGACCATCAATATGCGTCAGCGGCTGGCTGATATGAAGCAAAGGGGAAAACAAGCAGAAAAAACTCAACCAGGCAAAACAGCTGGTCTTGCCAGGTATGACGTAGTGTTACTATCCCTTTTAGTTCATAAAAGGTTTTCTGACCAGACTGTATGGTATTACGAGATTTGTGGACAGATGTCTTCTTATCTGAACAGTGCTATATTTATTATTACAACATATTGACATTTTTGATGGCAATTTTAATGCAAGAATAGATATGGAGATAAATGTGCCTATTCAGGTTTCAGTTTCTTATTCTTCCAGGTTCAGTTTTGTTTAGTGCTATTTTAGATCAGGTCAGTGAACTATTCTTTTAAAATATTTACAAAACTGAATATGCATTTATCTGGATATAGACTCAAATATGCATTGTTTGGTTATGGATTAAAATATGCATTATTCAAATAAAAAATTATTTGGAAATAGATTAAAATATGCATTATTTGGATACAGATTTAGTATTAGAGTCAGAGTTACATAGTTGCCTTTTTAGTCATATTTTTTAAAAAGTCTTTGTGCACTGTTTATTTAAATATTTTTCTTTCTTTATACATGTTGTTATGTAACGCCAGGTCCGTGGTAAATAAGGCCCCCCTCATACAAGACCTTATTTTAGAGGGGGGTGCGGACCTGGCGGGTATTACTGAGACCTGGTTGGGCGTCGAGGGAGGAGTCCCTCTTGTAGACATCTGCCCACCAGGTTTTCAGGCATTCCATCAGCCGAGGACCCGGGGTAGGGGCGGGGGGGTAGC